CTGGACTACAAGAGAGGCAGCCTCAAAAAAATTTTTTTAAGTTTCTTTTAAAAGCAGCATTGTTTAAAACTATATATTGGCCAGTGTGGTTATATGTGACTGTTGATAAAGAAGTATTGGGTCCTGAATGCTTCGCACCTCATCACCACTGCCTGTCAACTTTCTTAGAAGGCTGTATATCTCATAACCCACACCATGCCCTGGCAATCCTCCCCCAACTGGCTCTTTTGATATGACACAGTGCCAATCACAGGGCACTCTCTGGACTGGAGCCCTGCATGTTTTAACTGCCCTTCCTGACCCTCCCACCAATGGGGGAATCCACCTGTGCTGGATAGCTTTAGTGTCAATTTGACACACCTGGATTGAGGGAGCCTCAGTCGGGGAATTGCCTCTATTGGACTGGCCTGTGGCCATGTCTGAAGGGCATCTTCTTGATGAGCGATGTGGGAGGGCCCAGCCCACTGTGAATGGTGCCGCCCCTGGGCATGTGGGCCTGTGTTGCATAAGAAAGCAGGCTGAGCAGGGGTCAGGGGAGCAAGCCTGTAAGCAGCGTTCCTCCATGGCCTGTGCTCCAGCTCCTGCCTCCAGGTTCCTGCCCTGAGTTCCTACCTTGGGCTCCCTGATGAACTACGTGTGACCTGGGAGATGTAAGACAAATAAACCCTTTCCTCCCCAAGTTGGTACTGGTCAGAGTGTTTTGTCACAGCAATGAAGAACAAACTAAGACACCACCCTACACCTGCCTAATATACAACCGCAGCCTCAAACCCTTTCTCCCTTCGGGAAGGGAGAAAAATATGAAAACTCTGAGTCTGTAAAGGAGGGTGCACACTTGTCTGTATCCTGGGCTGCAAGAAGGTGCTTACCTCCTCTGGCCCCTGGGCCATGGTGATACACTCAGGTTTATTCTCTAATAAACCTACTTGACTCTGTAGAGGTCAGTTTTCCTTTGCCTTCTTCCTGCTTTCTATTTCCTTACCCCTGTGACCACAGCACTCAGGAGATTGAGGCAGAAGGATCATCAATTAGAGGCTCAAGTATTTTTTAAAAGGAAAGAAAAAAAGACACATTTTAAACAGATCAAAACATCAAAACTGCCAACAAATAGCAATACACCCTCTCCAGCAGCAGCTTGTTTCCCTGCATCTATTTCAGTCAAAGGACTTTTCACTGAGAGGATGATTGGGGAGATGTCAGCACATCATGTTGGAATCGGCAAAGAAGGTTCTAGTAAGGAAACTCCATCTATACTGACAACAGTCAGAGGGAGGCACTTGATTGCAACAGCCAGTTAGAAATGATTACGCAAGGGGCAGAAAGGATTTAAGAACCAGAGGTTGGGGAGGAGTGGCATGAAATGCTGCCATCAGGTATGACATGGCCGTCGCAAACACGAACACACAGCACTGTGGACATCTGTACAACATCAGGCCCTTCAATATTCCATGTGGATAGGAAGTGCTCTGAGGCCCCACCCCTTCCTGAAGAGCTGAAGAGCTGCTGAATATTAGTGGTTTTGGGAGGGGGTATCATTTTCTTTAATGGTGTAGCCACTGGGGGCAGAAGTTGGGAAGAAGAAGGCATCATATGGAAAAGAAGGACAACAGAAGGTAACAGGGAGTGACTATAATCCCAATATATGGTACACATGTATGAAGCTGTCAAAATAAAGGGAAAAATCATGTTTTTAAAAAGATATAGCGACAGCACAGGCTGTTCTGTAATTCCTCGCCATAAAGTGCTGGCTTATTAAAAAAAAAAAAAAAAAAGATTATTCCCCCCAAAACTTGCCCAAATTCCACATGGCTACAACAGCCAAACCTTTCTTTTCTGGGCCACGCCCTCATCCCACCCTTGGCATCTGAACAGCAGACTGCATCCCTGTCCCTGTCCAAGATTTTTCTGAGTAGATGGAAGAGGCAGGAACCCAGCTCCTCTGAAAACTTTCCTAATGGGTTTTAAACAAGCCTTACATCTTCTGCAAGACAGAGACTAGTTGAGGAGACTATTGAACCAGAGAACATGTGTCTTCAATCCCCAGCTCCCAAAAACAGGTATGAGAACCTGCTGGAAGTCACAGAGTTAAAAGCCCACTGGTGGCAAAACTCAGGGAAGGCAGGTGGGAAGAGGTTGGGGATGGGCCCTAGGCTGGACACTCCATTTTTGGCCAGCAAGTCTCCGATGGAAGAGGCTCCCAAGCTCAAATCCCATGGCCTGAGGACCTACAGCTGTGTGGACCCCACCTGCAGCCTTTCTTCTCTGTGCATATCCCAGCTACCTGCAGAGGGCAGTAGGGACAGATTGGTAAACATTTAGAGGAACTTTTCTCTCCATTTAAGGGTGCCATGAAACTGAAGGGTGGAGGTACAGGGTCAAGGGAACCCATTCCGTGGTAGCCAGAAAGGTGCTGGACTTGAAGCAGTAGTTTTCAGGCAGCCCTGAGCCTGGGTGGAGGGAAGAGCCTCTATTCAGAGCCCACAGAATTCTACAGACATGAGGCAGGACCTAGGGATTCCAAAAAGTGGTCAGCCATGCAGTGTGGGGCTGGCCCTTGGCTCTTGTTAACTTGTATCTCCACAGAAGAAAAAGAAGAGAAGGAAGAGGTGGAAGGAAGAGAGAGGAGGGGAGAACCTTGAAGGGGAAGGAAGGACAAGGTAAGATAAAGCTGGGGAGATGGCTCCATCGATAAAGTGCTTGCACACAGTATGAGGACCAGAGTTCAGATCCTCAGGACCCACTTAAAAACCATGCAAGTATGGCAGCCACCCGTAATCACAGAATTGGAGAGAAAGAGACAGGGGATCCCAGGGGTAAGCTGAGTTCCGGGTTCAGTGAGAGACCCTGCCTCAATAAATAAAGTAGAGGGACTAGAGAGGTGGCTTAGTGGTTAAGAGCACTGGCTGCTCTTGCAGAGGACCTGGGTTTGGTTCTCAGCACCCACACAGAGGCTAACAACCATCCATAACTCCAGTTCTAGGGGACCTGACATCCTCTTCTGGCCACCAAGGGCATTCTGCATAGGTACTTACATACGTGAAGGAAAAACACTGTATACACAAAAATAAATAAATGTTTTTAAAGTGGAGAACAATTGAGGAAGATGGCCTACACATACATGATCACATGTGCATGCACACCTGCACACACAGACACACAGTCACAGGCACACACAGACACAGACAGACACACCACACACACACACAGATACACACACACACACACACACACACACACACACACACACACACATCACCCACAAAGAAAGAAAAAAGCAAAAACACTTTGACTGTCTCCAGCCCAGCTTCTATGGCCCAAGAGCTACCTTCTGGCTGAGTTTCCTCCAAGTGAGCCTTCATAAGACTCTGCCTTGTGGACTCTCCATTACCTGTTCTCTGCTCCCACTCTGCCATTCTTATGAGATTCCTCCCCAGTAAGCATCCCTTGCTACGCTACAGCTTTGTAAACTTCCTGTAGAAAACCACAGAACATGGTAGAAGAAAAGGAACTTGGCAAATTGCTAGCTTCAGTTGAGATTCTGAGCAAGGCAGGGCTTGGCCATGGTCACTCTGCTGCTGATAGCAGGACAGGGCTATGTCCAGCTGTTGACCCTTGACAGGTGCTCCCTGAAACACTTTGTCCCCTGGAAGGAGCTGGCACCTTATTCTGAAGAGGGACTGGAACAAGGCTACCCGAGGGATAGGAACTGGGCAGAAGGGGGAAAATGCCAATGAGGCAAACCATGCCCTCCAAGCAAGGGACCTTCCCAAGTATTTGATAGAACTGTCATCCAACAGCATTGTTGGTTAGTTACCCTTGGTAGTGACTTAGTAAATAGTTCATTTACTTTTTTTTTTGAGAGAAGATCTTGCTATATAGTTCAGGTTGGGTTCAAATTTGAGATCCTCTTGTCTCAGTCTCCTGAGCCCTGGGATCACACATTTGTACCACCACCCCCAGCTGGTCCAATTTCCTTCTATAACTACTTCCATTTTCTGTCCCCAACCCCCACTCTCCAGTTTCGATCTTCTGAGAGTCCTTTTGCAGCCATGGTGCTCTCCAGTACAGAAGGGCTGCCTCTCCATGCTTCTGAAATATACCTGTCAGTCAGAAGGTTTCCTTTTTCCTGCATAGAACACTCCTATTCATCCATAAAAACCCAACCTAAATGACGCCTCCTTTAAAATCACTGGCAGCCTTCCCAGCAGCCAGGCCAGCACAGTGCTTGGCTTTCATTTCTGCTTTTTCATCCCTCTGTCATATCATTCCCTCTGTCATATCATTTGCCACATGATGCCATAATACCCCCAGGCTCCCCAGTGCTGGGCTCATTAGATTCTGCACTAGGGCCTATGACACTGCTGATCTCTGGCCCTACTTTACCATGACTCTGAGATACCCCCAATAATAATCCTTTGCTATTTCCTGGCCTGGTAAACTTACTATGGAAAACTATATTTAGGTCCCAACAGATACCTCAATACCCATCACAGAGAACACTGGATAAATGTTTATAAAACTCACTCATGACAGTGAGGTCTTGATTCATTTATATGTACTTTAGAAAGGAGATTCCTTCTCTTGTCACTGATGCATGTAGATACATAAAAACTACAGGGTTGTCCAACCTGCAGCCTATGAGTGAAACTAGTCATGAATGCAGCCCAAAAGCAAGAGGGTTGGTTTTTCCAATTTTTTTTAACCTAGATCTTGTTCTAAGTGTGAACTCTGTAGATGACAACATCACGTTGCAATGTCCAAAGGTTGGACATATTTAGGTGTTAAGCAAACTACTGGCCCAAGGCATACCTCCATGCCCCTTTCTTGCGTGGTGTTGTTTTGGCAGAGCTGGGGATGCCACCCAGAGCCTTGCACATGCAAGGCCAGTACTCTACCCCTAATTAGATGTTAGCTTCCCAGTTCCCATCCTCCACCAAGCTCTCCACCTTTTTTGCTCAAGTGGAGTGGGAAGAGACTCAGGCCAGGAAGGATGAACTCACCTATGACATTCCGGATGTCATCTTCTTCTTCTGGGCTCAGGGTGGGGCCAGCAGGGGTTGCTCCCCGCCCTGCAGTCCCATCTTCCTCTGGTATGTCTGTCCCAACTGTGGCAGGAGACACTGGGGCAATGTGCAGAGCTTCTACCAATCTGTCCCCAGGAACCAGTGCTGGAACAGCAGAGGCTGGAGGTGGCTGGATGGCCGTGTAGGCCACAGTGGTGGTTGGGACTTGTGTAGAAGGTATTACCTCTGTGGGGTCTGGCAACACTGAGGCAGGGGCCTGTGTTGGTACTGAGGACAAGGCTCCTGCCTGAACGCTTGGGTCAGTTGTCACTGCAGCACCATGACTGGTGGATGCTGACCTTCGGGTGGCACTGGTCAGTAGGTCTTCGTGTCTGAGGAGCTCATCTTCAATCAGCAAGTCCACTCTGCTGTCACCACTGAAAAGTTCATCATCTGTGGAACAAGCAACAAGATTCATTTGTGGCACAAGGAGAGGGGCAACCTGGCCAATAGTGGATGGCATGTGGCTCGTGAATAAGGTTCCTTGCCTCAACCTGGTGTTTGGTTTGGAGATGGAGGGCAGCTGGGAATTTACTTTGTTGCCTTTGTTTTCTTTTTGGAGATAGAACCCAGGAACTCGCTCATGCTACACAAGCACTCTAACACTGAGGTCCAACCCAAAAGCCCTTTTGGTTGGGAATTTAAAACTTAAAACATGACCAGGAGCATGAATAGATGGACAGTGTATATCCTGGAGGGCCTCTGAACACACTGCTGCTATCCTCACCTCAGCCTTGGGTGCGGGGGGGAGGCTTGGGAAGGGGCAGTTATGGAAAATGAGCCAGGGAGGCAGGGAAGATGTTAGTGATCCAATCCATTTATTCAACAATGCTGGTGACACATATCCAGCACCTGTGTGCAAAGCAAGATCCTGACCCCTGCTAGCCAATGGTAGAGACAGGAACCAACAGACAGACTGTCGTCTGAAGGCGCCATGGGAGAAAACAGAATCAGATCAGGAGTGCCAAGGAAGTTAGAAGGACCTGGACGGCTGCACACATCTGTAAGGCCAGCACTCTGAAGGCTGAGTCAGGAGATCGTGAGTTGGAGGCCAGTCTAGGAAATACTACCAAACCAAACCAAACCAAACTGAGGGAAGGAAGGAAGGAAGGAAGGAAGGAAGGAAGGAAGGAAGGAAGGAAGGAAGGAAGGAAGGAAGGGAGGGAAGGAGGGAGGGAGGGAGGAAGGGAGGAAAAAGAATGAATAAAACTTGTAGGAATGAATTCAGCAGTCACATGAAGCTCACTGAGATGGAGAGATAAGCAGAATCCTGGAGAAGGTGAGGCGTTAGCCAAGCAACTCAGGGGTTGGGGAGAGGAGGACTCTAGGAGGAAATAATAGGCATGCAGAGGCCCTGGGGTCAGAACGCACTTGCTGAGGTTGAGGCTGAGGAGCAGTGATGTGGCCAGAGTGGGCACAGCAGAGGTTATGAGTGGGAGGTAAGGTCAGAGAGAGGACAGGAGTGGGTCATGGGTGGCTTGGAAGCTATGCATAGACTTCAGCTTTTATTCTGAGTGAAATGGCTGAGGGTGAAAAGTTCTAAGCAGAGATAAAGTTGGGAAGACAAAGATTTTTTAGAGAAGACATAAAGAATTTTAAGCATAAAAGTGATGACTAGATAATTGGACTTTGCATGCTCATGAGAAACACCGTGAAGGAATTGAAAATGCAAGCCACAGGCAGGAGAAAGCATTCTAACATCTGAACTTAAAGTTAGAATACATAAAGAGCTCCCACAAGTCAATAACAAAAAGTACAGTTAAAATGGGAAAAATGATTATGCTAGTTACTAGTTGAGAATGAAAGAACAAACAGGAACAGGGAGGCAGTTCCCATGAGATCAGATGGGGGGGGGCACCTAGCTTGGGAAGAGGAAAGTAGGGCTTTCTGGAAACTTCAGACAAGAAAAGAAAGAGGACAGGAGGAGGCAGGAGGTAAGGAGGAACACAGGAAGAGGAAGTGCTAAGGAAACAATACAGGCAGGAAGATGGGAAAGGACTCATCCACTTTCTGTGTAAAAGTCAATAAAATCTCTTAAACTTAAAAAAAGAAAGCAAGAAGGATGGAGGTCAAAAGGAGAAGTGCTAAAGACTCAACCAGCTTGATGTTCTCGGATTGGAAAAGTGGCAGAGCCTATAAGTGTCTCCAAGCAAGTCATTCTTCCCAAGCCTCAGTTTCCTCATCTGTAAGCAGAAAGGACTGGACAAGAAGATGCAGAAGTCCCTCCAGCTCGGCTACGCTCAGCCATGAGGTTTACTAAAAGGCTAAAGAGGTTAAGTGACCTGCCTAAGGCTTCTCAGCAAGCACTTGAATAACCTGCAGCTCTGCAGTGTGGGCTCACAGCAGACTCCAGACTGTAGACATTCCATGTCCACATGGTCCAAATGGCCACTCCCTCCCTGCCTGGCCTCTGGCACTATCCCAATGATCTGGACTCACGTTGCCCTTCGATGTCATTCTCCTCCTCAGAGACCTTGGCTTTATAGTAGGTGATGCCCCTGATGACGGTGGGCTTGGAGGCTGGCCGACCTCTCAGGTGTACCTGCCTCTGCAAGGGCCACTGTGGCTTCATCACTGTGGGTGGGACCAGTGGCCGAGTCTGCAGGAGGTCGATGGAATTGATCTGCCGTGACACTGTTTCTTCCTGCAGAAACCGCTCTTCATACTGTTCCTCAGAGGAGGCAAAAGAGAAGATTAGAGAGACAGGACTGGATGGACAATGCTGGAGCTGAGGGCCCACCAAATAGAGCAGCACTGTCTAAGAGCACTTAGCATGTGATTAAGTATTTGAACTTTGCATCAGATGTTATAAGTCAGATCCACTTTTATCATGCCCATTTACAGATTAAGAAATGGAGGCACAAGAGATCCTATAAACTGCTCCAGGTTCCCTTGACACGCACACACAGGTAAGTGACAGAAGCAGGATGTGAACCTGGGTGGTCTGGCTACAGAATCTGTATCTCTGGTCTGGCGTTCCTCTTCCTAAAGTGTACAATCTTCCACTGGCTTCTGCCTTAAGGATGCTGGCCAATGATTCCGTTTTCACTTGTTTCCAGGAGACCAACATGGGGAAGGAGGGCTGGCCTGGGCCCTCAGATTGAGGACTAAGTTGCACTCTCTTACTACTGTCCTAGGTCCTTGGGTTGGGTGTTTGATTCCTGGACCTCTTAGCTCTCCAGAGTCACTGGGTCTTTGTCCACACTAGCATTTTTTTCTATCTAGAAAATCATTATCTTCCAATCTGGCATGCATGTGCAGAGACAGAGACAGAGACAGAGACAGAGACAGAGAGTGGAAATGGGGCAAAGCTAAAGGCCACCCCCAGTGACATGCTTCCTCCAGCAAGGCCAGGGAGGGGGGAGGGAGGGAGGGAGGGAGGAAGGAATAGAGAGAACAGCCACTTATAGCCACTTATCCACCCATTATTCCTGGAAGCCCAGCCACTTGTTGAAATCCACCCATTCCTGGAAGCCCAGCTCAAATCTTACCTCCCCAGGGAAATTCTCCCCTTCTTCTCATTCAATATCAAGCTTTCCTCCCCAATCCGTACTTTTCTCTTTATGGCTGACATCTTTATTTTTTATTTTATTATTCTATTTTATTTTACTTTATTTTGAGACAGGGTCTCCCTGTTGCCACAGCTGGCCTGGAACTCCCTATGTAGACGAGGCTGGTCTCAAACCTCCAGCCTCTACCTCCCGAGTGCTGGGATTAAAGGGGTACACCTCCATACCCAGGCATGGTTGACTTCTAATTGCCTATCCCCTTGTTCAATGCCCACCTGCTCCTTACTAACTGACACTTGGTTTTATGGGTGTGGCCAGTGGGGTAGAGGTAGAAATTGAGAGGCGGAGTTAAAAGTAGGGCTGGCTAGTCTGGGAAGTTGCCTTCTGCTCTCTTCCTCACTTCTCTGGCTCAGTATGTACACAGGGTAACTGGAGCTGAGCAGCTACCTTGAAGGGATTCTGAGGATGGAAGTTACTGATCAGTTTGGAGTTAATCATGCCAGCCCTGGACTTCCTGCCTCCAGTGCTCTTCTAGGTGAAACAGCAAGAAGCTTCTTCCATATTTAAAGCACTGTCTTTGGGTCTGTCACTCAAAGCCAAACAGAATTCTCAAAAGCTCTAAGACTGCACTTCCATGATAGCGCCTCCCCTAGGTATCTTCCACAGGCACTACTTGAGGAACCTGCTGTCTCTGTGGACTAAGAATATGAACAAGGAGAAACCACCTGGAGATCTCATTCCTCTGGATAGATATCCCTTAATATTTACTAAATTTAATTTCTGAGTTATAGAAAATCTCAAGGGACTATCTATATTTGTAATTTTGTGTATTGTGACTGTCAAATCAAATGAAACCTCAAGGAAGGCAGCCCGTGACCTGGTGTCTAGAAACTTGTGATGCTATGAGAACGTCACCTTGATAGGAAAGCCTATATAGAAGAAACCCCTGTCCTTCATGGAGCTTCTGTCCATGCACTGGCCTCTGGGTCTGCTGCAGTATAACTGAGGTTCTGTGTCCTCTCTGTCCAGGATGACAATCACCTCCTTGGAAAACACAGAACAATGGATGCAAGGTCCATGGATCAGCTAGACTCAAAGCTAGGGCCACCTTGCAGGTGACTCCAGCTCCAAGAGTAGTCATCCATGAGGGAATTGTGGGAGTCACGGGGCTCAGCCCTGCTGCCAAAAGGTTTCCAGTGGTTAAGTAATGAGGTGGCCTCCTGTGGTCACCTAAGCCATTGACCCACCTTGCCCAGAGGAGGTAGGTGAGGTCCCTTAAGTCCTGTGGTTCTAGGCCTGGGAGATGTCCACCTGGGAATAGGGCCAGTGAAGAAACAAGACCTCTGCTGGGGCCGTGTCCTGTACAGAGTGGGGTCTCATTAACTCCATGTTAGCTGTAGGGGGTCCAGCCATCATGGCTAACCCCATAACTGTGCATGAAAGGATCAAACCAGGCTTTCTTTTTGAACTTTAAAATCTAGCTCATTCTCAACCACACCCTCGTTTACACTTGTTTACCCAACAAGTTTATCCAGATGGCGTAACAGATATGGCAGTCCCTAAATATGCATGTCTGTCTCCAGCATGCAGTGGTGACAGACTGCTGGAAAGATGGGTACACCTTTCTGCCAGTCTCCCTTGACTGGAGTCAGAGAACTGCCCAGAAGAAGCCCAGTAATATGCCAGCTGTGAACCAGAAGGCCTCCATCCTCCATGCCAGCTCCCTGCATCTCTGTCACACCTCTGTTCTTGTGAGGTAACCTCTATCAGAGATATACAGATGCCTGCTTGTTGATGATGTTGTTTTAGTGAGTACCTATTGTAGCCATGTCCCTATATATTGTTTTTAACCCTCACAACAATGTAAACAAGGTAATACTATGACCAATATCTCAAAGATGAGGAAACTAAAGCTCTAAGCCATTTAGTGACTTGGTTGACAGTCATTCAGTGATGTGGCAGCAAAGGACGGTAACCAGGTCACACAATCAACAAGCAGCCCCAGCTGTCATTTCCCGGTCCTGTGCTCTTCCTTACATTAAGTCACACTGCCCATCACTGTGACCTCAGGACCACTTGGTTGTCATTAAAAAAGTGGCCTGAATCCCCATGTCCTCAAGGCTGTGGTCTGGCAACTGCCCACCGGACATGGGAGATGTCTCATTTCCCAGTGGAAAGAGCTGCCTGGAGAGGCTGGTCATATAGCCCTGCCTCTGAGGTGCAGGGGCATCTAATCGCTAGACCCTGGTTTGCCTCTGCATTACAAAAGCTGGTTGTCATTTCTTCGTGGCAAACCCCAGGAACTGTCTTTAGTTCCAGACTCTCAGGGAAGGGCGGGAACTTCAGTTCTTTGTCTAGGCCAAGGATATGGAGCAAGACAGTGGACAGCCTCTGCCAGAGAACATATAATTTCCTTGGATTTGCTGGCGACAGGCTACACTGGGCGGCAGCGGCCCCTACCATGATTTGATTGCCTCTCTCTCCAAGAGTCTGCAGCATGACTTCAGCTCCTGGCATCGTATGATCTCACTCCCATTCTGCCCCCTCCATTCTCAACCAAGCCTCTGAGCCCCTCTGCCAATCCTCCAGGAAAGGGCCATGTTGGAGAGGGACCTCCTATAAATAACCACTTGCCATTCCAAGACCCCCTGGCATCATCAGCAAGACCAAAATAAGCATGCAAGCCATCCACCCTGTTACAGTGTGGGGTTCACTGAAGAGACAGGAATGCATACGCAGTAAGATGAAAAGCCTACCTTCGGGTCTCCTTCACTCCCCTCTGCACCACCAGCCTGTCTGAGTGGACTGTGCTGACTTCAGCACTATGCACCATGGGGATTCAGGGAGGGATGAGGACTTTGCTGAGCAAGGAGAAAAAGAGTTTGGTGTGTTTGATTTGGTTTGCTGTTTGCCCTCAGGAAATCTGAGCTGGGTTCCTGAACATACCACAGAATGTGTCATCAAGACAACAGACAAGCTTTCCCACTTGCTAGCTAACGGGGAAGCTGGAAGCAGAAGGCCAGGAATGTCGGCTGCTGTGGGGGGCTGAGATAAGAGACATCAGGCCCAGGCGTGGGAAGTGGGTATCTTCAGGTCCCCTTCTGGCCCCCAAATCTGGTTTTTTTTTTTTATTATGAACTCAGATCTACTGGTGGTGGCCTACTAGGCAGACTAAATACATATTTAGTAGCCAATATGTCAGAGATACACAAAAGTGAGAATTACTTCTGAATATAATGTCTCAAAAAATCAAAGGAGGTCATCATGGGAAAAGTCAGATAATTATCATCCTTCCTTATTTAATAGTTTGGAGTTGCCTTTGAGTTACCTACTGGGGAAACATGACACCATACTTTTCCATAGCTTGCTGCCCCAAAGCCCTAATCTGTCATTCTGCTTTCAGAACACGTATGCTCAGAAGTTCCCAAGCCAACCACACATGCCTGCTTGGTGATGAGTTTTTCTAACCCAAGAGTGTTGAGCCTATGGGCAGGAGAAGTAGCTCAGTTTATAGAGTGCTTTTCTAACACTCACAAAATTCTGGGTTCCATCCCCAGCATCACATAGACCAGGAATGATGGAACGTACCTGTAACCCCAGCATTTGGGTGGTGGAGACAGGAGACTTAGTAGTTCAAGATCATCTTTGGCTACAAAGTGAGTTTGAGGCTAGGCTGGGATACCTGAGACCCTATCTCAAAACAAAACAAAAAATGACTTTTGAACCCAGATGTACAGCCTTCCTTCCTCTCTATCCAAATTCACAATGACACATGCAACAGAGTTCCACAAAGCAATCTTTCCTGTCATAGTTTGGACCTTAAGTGTCCCCCAAAGGCCCATGTGTTAGAACTTGGTCCCTAGTCCATGAGGTACCATGAAGAGGTGATTTAACCTTTAAGAGGTTGGGCCTAATGGGAGAAGTTAGGTCAGTGTGGCATGCCCTTAGAGGAGATATTGGAACCCTAGCCACTTCCTCTTCTCTGCCCCACCACACTGAGGTGACTAGCATTGCTCGACCACATATTCACCATCAAAGTTAACATGGGCAACCAATGATGGGCTGAAAGCAGGAGTCAGAATAAACCATTCCACTTTTGTTGATTGATTATCTCAGGTAATTTATTAGTTAACATTAACAGAAAGTCTCCAAACTTTTGCATGTCACAGCACACAAAAGAACTAGCTCCATGGCTCTAAAGGACCCAGGCACTGCTCAGCTTATACCTAGAATGGCTACCCAAGAGACCAGTGTGCCAGGGCTCCGCCATTCACTACTGATCAGGGAGATCAATTAAAGTAAGCCATGTCTCTGAAATGCCGCTGTCCCGTGGTGGCCAGGGACCTTTCACAATACTTCACCCAGACTACCTTAGCTGAGCTCTTCTGATCTCGCCACAAAATGTCCATTTTGGCTTCCGTGCTTTGGATTATCTTCCAAATTACTGCCTGTTTCTTGGCCACTAATTCAGTAGAAAACCCACTGCATTACATGGTAACATATTTAATCACTACCACACAACATTCTAACATTTTTCATGAGAGAGGCATCAAATGAGATAATTTTATGCAAGTAGGTCTTATGGCATCATTAGATCTTTTACATTAGACATCTTATACATGGGTAACCTCGTGCTAAGGACAGAGTTTGAGATCCTTTGCTACCAGTTCCCAACTGATCCAGGATCTATGTCCATCTGTAAGATGGGGGTACTGACCTATGTCTGGCCTGCTTTCCAGAACTGCAATGAAGACCACACAGTGATGACAATGTGTGGTAACTGACCAAGTCCTTTAAACAGGACCATATCACTATTGTCTCCAGGCTGAGACATTTCCAAAAGAAAAAAAAAAAGGTGTTGCTAATGACACCAGGACAGGCAGGTGCCCAGGATGGCCCCAGATGCCCCTGGATGGCCTCAGGTAAGAAAGCACGCATCTTCTTCAAGGGCTGCTCACAAAAGCAGGATGGGATGTTGTGAAAAGAATGGGGCCAAGGCTCAGAGGACCCTTACTCTCTGAACCTCTATGACCTTCCGTTTTGAGTAAAACTAGACTAAGCCCTGCCTATCACACCTATAGAACTATTGTCCAGGTGAAGACAGACCATGACTGTGGAAGGCCTGAACCCTGAAGAACTCTATGAGAGGCTGATGCTATACTTCCAGGCTGAGGAGAGGCTGTAAGGAGATGGGGCTGTACCTCTGGGTGGGCGTAAGCTGCTGCTGCATCCCTCTGCAGGGCTGAACGGATGTCTGGCATGCTGTCTAGGATGTTATCAGAGCAGTTCTTTTTGCCTTGCTTATTCATCTCAGTTCGAATTTCTTCCATGTCCTCTTTGATTTGCTCATTTTCCTTGGTGAGGTTTTTAGAAACTTCCTGAGAAGAAAAAAGTTTTTTAAAAATGACACATTCAAATGTTTTGAAGCTGGGCAATAGGTAGCTGGCAACCATAGAGTATGAGACATGTAGACATGGGGATGGCTCAGGGTGTGGAGATATGCAGACACTGGGTCAGGATGGCTTGGAGCATGGAGACACACAGAACAACTGAGACACTAGTCAACAAGAGATTGAGTCCTGTAAGTGTGCCCAGCCCTGTGCTGGGAGCCAGTACCAGGTACCTAGGAAGCATTTCCAGCTTTGGGACACCCAACTGCCAGAAACACTGCCCAAGTTACCATAGCTTTCCCACTATATTACTGCCGTGTGACCAGAGCACCTGGCTCGGTTTTTGGTCATTGGTATGCAGTGTTCTTACCTGGTGGTAAAGAAGAATGCAAAGAGTTCATTCAGTTGTACAAGTTAATCAGTCAGACAATGAATAAAAGAAGATTTCTGAGGTGATTTTAGAAGAGGTGGCCCTCCAAAAGGTATGCTTAGTTTAATTTTCTAATGCACACAAACAATTCACTGCACTTTTGTATCATTTACCATAGAAAATGAATAGGCTGGCTTCAAACTTTCCTATTTCTGCTTGAAAATAGCTGCCTTAAATGACCCCTAGTTGGCAGTTTCTGGAAACCCTGGTTTGTTCATACCAGAAAGGGCCAAAGCTGCATTTTGGTGCCTGAAGTGCGGTGGAGCAGCAAGAAAGGCTCCAAATGCACATGGGGTTCTTGCCCCAGGTAGGGTGGGGGAGATGGGGAAATGGCAGCTATCACTGGAGAGACACCAACTGCACCAGGATCCTTACATGCCAAATGTGATAGTAAATTCAAGCAGGAAGAGTGGAGAAGGTGGGCTGCAGAAGATGGGCACGGATGGAATCTGAATCATAGGAAAGATGTCAGCCGGCTTGGAGATCCCCTTCATCCAGTAGTTAATTTTAGAGAAATGTGACTATAGAGATTCAAGACTATGCAACTTTGGACTCACATTGAGGTTTCCATAAATATCTAAAATATTCTATGCATGGGGCTGGTGAGATAGCTCAGTGAGTGAGGACGCACGCTGCTACTCCTGACAATTTGAGTTTGAGTTTGATCCCTGGAACCCACACGGTAGGAGAGAACCAATAAGGTCCTCAAGTTGTCTTCTGTCACACACACACACACACACACACACACACACACACACAC